TGAAAATTGCATGGAGCCGTGGCCTTGGCAAAGAGGATGATCTGATTTACATATGCCAACCTGCCATCACAGAGTCCCTGCTTGCTCCTTCTGCCTTGTCCAAGATCCTGAGGCAGAAAAAGTTTGAATATTGCAGTGGAACTCTCTGAGGGAAGGCTACAAGGTGAGGAGTGTGTGTGAATTATGTGGGTTCGCACATACATGTACGCCATCCCATGAGGACCCATTCTCAATGGGTCTCTTTTCAGCTTTTCCCTTTTCTAGACCTTTATTTCCTCTTTTTCCCAGTTACTTTTTATCTGGAAGACAGCCTCTCCATTAAGCTGGTATTGTGGCTGATAGTGTGTAGCTCTCCATGGAGTCCCATTTACCAGAACAGGGTATGACATATCATAGGTCAATAAATCTGAACTTTTGGCTAGAAAATTTTAGCCAGGTATTACGTTCCATCAGTCTCGGTTCTTAGAAATCGATGGCCTGGACTTTTAAAACATGTCTCTGAGTTCTAAGAGCCAATGTAAAGGATGATCACTGACTGTTTCTTTTTCACTGTCCTTGTGTTCTACAGTCATGATTTGACATCACGAGGAGACCTCTTTGTCCTGGAGGAGAAATAATTTGAGTTTTGGGCTATTAGATTTTATTTCTACTTCTCTGAGTATTTGGATGAATTACCCATGAATTGAGAACAAATCACAGCCTTACACTCATGACTTCTTTATGTAAATTTTCAGTGTCTTCTCCTTGAAGACAACAACAAACTGACCCCCAACCTCACAGATGGTGTTAGTCATCCTCATAATGCACCTCAGTTAACATCTCAAGTCGGGATCCAGTTGCACTTGCTTCGTGCGACAGGTATTTGAACGACAAGCTGCAGATACACTGACATTTGCTAAATCAAATTAGTTTTAAAATGAACTGGAGTGGCTTGCAATTTGAAGGTAATTGATGTTAAGCCCCAAAAATTAAAAAAATGATTTGCAAAGGAAACAATCACCCCAAATGTATCTCTTACTTTGTAGAGGCTGTCTTTGCAGTCTCAGGGAAGGCACTGTAGTAAGAGCGAGAGGACTTCCACTTCTAGGCTCACATCTCCCACGAGCTAAACTGGTGACTTTAAGTAAGTTAATTGAATTTCTCTGTGTCCCCAAACGTCTCAGCTAAAAACTTGGATTTGCTCATTCAACAAATGAATTAGGACCTCCCATGATAGACAGGTGAAAATAAGGACTAGCTCTCAGAGAGCTCACAGATGAGATGGGAGACCAGGTGACCAAGTGTATTCCAAGATAGCTGTTGGTCCAAGGAGCTAGTGATGTGCTCCAGAGGCCCCTGATGCTGCCTACCAGGGAAGGAGGTGATTGGAAGTTTCTGGAGGAGGTAAATTTATGGATGAAAAGACCATGGACCGGACAGGTTAGTCAATTTTCCTAAGTCCCCTTAATTAAAGTTTTGGCTTCCAGGCTGATGGTCTTTTCCTTTGAATATGAGAAAATAATTTAATATGTAAAGCCTTTTTACTATTATGTTGAGAGTGTGTCTGTAGTAATAAAAACATCAATAATAATAAGTAAGATTTTGTGCCAGGCATTGTTCCGAGAGTTTGCATGTGTTTAGTCATTAAACTCTCTTCACATACAATGAAGTAGATATTTTGAAGAAATTAAGCACAGAGTTCAAATAACTTGCATAGCATTGCACAGCTAATGATGGAGCCGGGAAAGCATCGTGCTTGGTGCTTCACATATGTTATCTTCTTTAATCCTTAAAATAACTCAAACAGGTAGCTTTATTAGCCTCACTTCACAGATGAGAAAATGAAGGCACAGAGAGTTTAAGTAACTTTCCCAAGATCACACAGTAATTAGGGAAGCTGGGATTTGAACCTAAGCAGTCTGGTCCCAGAACCTAGACCCTTACCTTCTGTTCTCTTAGTTTAAAGCAGTTGAATCTGTTCTGCAAACCCAAGCAAGACCAATGAAACTTATTTCCAGTTTGACACTGCCATCTCAGCTAAGGTGAATCTCTGCTCCTCTGCTTCTCTGCTCCTCTGTAACTGAGGAATATGACTTATTATCTTAAGTGTTTATGCATATGTCTAGTTTTTCCATTAGACTTGTGACTTCTCAGGGACAGGGGTGATACAATTTACTCATCTTTATATTTCCAGCACCTTGTACAGTCTCTTATGCCTAATAAGGGCTCAGTATTCAAAACAGACCTGAATGAATAATTTCCCATCATGAGAACTTGAAAACTTTTGCAAGAAAATATCCACAAATTATTTCTGGCCTAGAGATTGCCATGTGGGGTCATCCTATGGTTTGATCCATCTCTGCATCTTTAGAATTTGAGACAGGTCTTGGTATATAGAAAACATTAAAAAAAAATCCATGAATGAATGAATGGCTTAGTAAGGGAGGCAAGAGGTGCAAATGAGAATCATTGCAGCTTTTGGGAAACTGTCCATGGGAGAGGTGATAGCAATCTCTAGGAGAGGGAGCCCAGGCTCCTTGCAGAGACCCCCAGCAGGCAGCCTTCGTGGCAGCTGATGGAAGGGAGGCGCCCGCTTGAAGTCAAGGCCAGTGATATTCTGCACTGACAGCTCCTCATTTGACCCTCAGGGGCGCTTATTTCTGGCAGAAGCATTTCTTGGTTTTAGAAAGTACTTCACCCCTTTACAACCTGTGTAATTGCTATTGGAATGCTTTGCCCTGGTAGTGTCTTAATTATGTCAAATTTTATACCAAGGGCTTTAACTTAACGCTGTATTTGCAATTCTAAGACCCCCTACTCTTGGCACTGCCAGGAAACACATTTTCTAGATGTGGGACATGCTGACCCAGAGCTTGTTTTTGCATTCTTCCACAAGGAGGGGTGGGGTGGGGACAGGATCCGGGGAGCCAGGCAAAAGGAGACGTGTGTCAGGAGAATAATCTCAATGCTTCTAGAAAGAAAAACCCATCTCTAAGTTACCCTGCTCCAAGCGCTGCGTGGATGGAGGTTGCTTGGATAATTGCAGGATCCGAGGCTGTTCGCGTTTAGTTAAATTATATAGTTTTGCTCTCTGTGGGTTTTACAAAAAAGCCACCTTTTTATTATCTGCCTTTCATCAAGCAGAACATGCCCCTAGAGTCACCTTTCCTCTCCCTACCATGCCACCCCAATAACGAGAAGGAAGCCATCTGCCAAGAAAACAAACACAATATAAAAGTTACACAAATACATAATCCCCAACCCAGAAGGGAAGGAGCAGCTGCCACCTGGTACCAAGCAGAAAACAGTTTAATATTTATCCAGAATAGAAGGTCCCCCAACAGGCCGTAATTCCTCTGTGGGGTGGGGCGGCTGAGGGGAGGTCAGGGATGGGAATCACCTCCAAGGTCTGGGTCTAAATAGGGACATAATGGGAATCAATTCAGCGAGCTCAGTGTTGCTGTCTCCTGTCACGGGGTGCATTCAGGAGGCACCTGAGGAGGCCATCAATCTGTCACCGGAAAGGGGAGAGGAGCGGGGAGATAGGAGGCAATTGGAAATGGGCATCACTGGGGACTTTTCCTCCAGCTGGAAGTGTCGCTAGAGAAATATGGAGCAGAGCCATCCCCAAGGTAAGGTAAATGGGGGCTCTTGCCCCTGGCCTTGGGGAGTGGTGCCTGGGAGAGATGAAAATCTGCTCTATCGCATTTCAGACAAGCCTCTTTTCTTACTCCTGATCTGGTCTTGGATTGGGATGAAATTTTACTCCCCTTGCCTGAGAAATGCACTTTCCAATGCTTCAGCCGACTCAAGGCTTGCACTGATTTATATATAACTTGTATCTAATTCCTTAATCAAATGCTCTCTGACTGAATAGGAATGCAGTTATTAGAAATTGTGCAGTCCATGAGAGCGACTCAATCTTCCGTTTTATTGATAAATCAGCATGTTAAAACAACGATGCCCGCCGACATGACAGTTCTTTCTAAGGAAGAGGCAGTTTACAGAGCTGTGTAAATCAGAAGCGTCCTTACGCTGTGGTTGGGGAGACATGATATGGCAAAATGTCTACCAATAAAGTGGAGTATTACAGCAAATTACCCAGTTTATACATGCAGGCGAAGCCTCGTTTCTCTTGCCATGTTCGAGAGCCGATAAAGCTTGCAAATGTGATGGGAGCCACTATTTCTGCCTCTGTGCAGCTGTTTATCAGCAGCCTTTTAACACATTTTCACATATTAATGAGGTGGCATAGCAATTCCAGAATTAGAACAGTGGGATGTTTCATTGTCTGCCTTATCTCAAGATATGCCTGCTGTCAGCATCATTACCAGGGTGTGCACCACGGAAGATGGAAATTTTGGTGGATGAACCATGTGCACGTGACCTCTCCTTCCCGGTGCCCTCAACCCCCTCATCTCTGATCATACCTGCATTGGCCCTGGCACTGTTATTTGCAGGTCTTGCTGCATTTTGCAACTTTGTCTTTTTGTTTCATTTTTTCTTTTATTTTAATCAAAGTAGAATGGTCTTATTATATTAGTTTCAGGTGTAAAATAGTGATTCAATATTTTTATACATTATAAAATGATCACCATGATAAGTCTAGTTACCACCTGTCACCATACAAAGTTAGTCCGATATTATTGACTATCTTTCCTATGCTGTACTTTACATCCCAGTTATTTATTTTATAACTGGAAGTCTGTACCTCTTAAACTCCTTCACCTATTTTCACTCATCCCCCCTCCCTCTCCCCCTGGCAATCACTGGTTTGTTCTCTGTGTATGTTTCTGTTTTGCTTTGTTTTCTTTTTTAGATTCCACATAAAGTGAAATCAGATGGTATCCATATTTGTCTTTCCCTGTGTGACTTATCTCACTTAGCAAAATGCCCTCTAGGTCCACCCAGGTTGCTGCAAATGGCAAGACTTCATTCTTTTTTATGGTGAGTAATATTCCATTACATATCTATATCTATATCACATCTTCTTTATCCATTCATCTATTGATGGATACTTAGGTTGCTTTCATGTCTTGGCTATTGTAAATAATGCTGCAATGAATATTGTTTCATGATTTATATGTCAATAGGGCTTGAAAATTCTTCTTTCCTTCTCCATTTTCTAAAATAGTCCCTGGCGTTTAATAGGTACTCCATAAATATTTAATGAATGAGTGGGTAGGTGGATGGATGAAAGTGTTTGTTTCCTCAGAGATGAACCTCTGCAGGCACAGTCTACCTGTCATTGTGGCTTCAAGGAACAAAATAGGTATGAGGCATGGTTTTCCTTGAATTTGCATACAAATGGTAAAATGGCAAATGAGATCTCTGAATTAAGAGCCAGCAGAGAACTTACAGAGCATTTAACCTGGAGATTTCCAAACACAGGTCTGCAGCTGGGGCCAGAACAATGCAAAGTTTTCACCAGTTTGCAGTGAGATGAGAAAATTAAAAATACAGTGAGTGTTCATGGATCTACATGAATTCTCTGCTAGAATTCTTAGATTAGGTCTTTCTACTTTATTTGGCATTAAAACATCCTTTCTTTTATAAAATGATGGTAATAGTGGATGCTAGCCTTTCCTTGGCAAAACGAAAAGATCCTAAGTCCCCCACATTTTGGGAGGTTGGGGAGGGGAAGTTTAATTAGTCTGTGAAATCCCAACATCTGGAGCCATGGTTTAACTCATCTATGTCTTTTGAAAAAAATTCACTGAAATCAACCTATTGGTTTTAAGTGAGACACTGGGCTGCTTAAAAGAATTAGCTCATTTCAGCAAATGATAAGATGCCTCAAGCCCTACAGGCACCTCTCTGTCTTGTCTCTTCAGAGCAGGGATCCAGGCTGGGCCTCAGCAGGGATCCAGGCTGAGTCTTGCAGTAATGCCATGACTAGGCTATAGGAGATTTCCTAAATCCAGGTCAGTCCCTGTAACAGGAGTACAGAAGCCAATACATTGATGTCTCATACATTTTCTTCTGTTGCAGACGTAGTTGCTGCTTTGTCTTTAGGCGAAACATATATATGCTCTGACTGTGTAAATACAGAGCCCCTCTCTGAGCTATGAGAATTCTAGTTGGTGTGGGAAAAAAAAGACTCTGCATAGACACATCTGCACAATCACGTCTCCTTTCTCCGAATCCCCTCAGCTCCTACTATCTATGCCACACAGCATAGCCCTTGGTTTTTACATTGTCTTCTGTGCTCTGTTTATTATTCACAAGTCTTATCTCCCCTAAAGAATGGGAACACTCTATTTGAATCCTGTTATTAATTGATAAATTTTCTTTTTGTCAACACAATCTTTTTTGGAGGCTGTTGGCCGCTCACGGTTCTACATATGTCAGGGAGATCAGAGATTCTGTCGACCTGGTTTCCAGCCCTGGCTCTGTGACTGGTGGATGACCAGTGTACGAGTGAGCACTGACTCTCACAGCACCTGGATCCCTGTCACTAAGAGGGAGTAACAGCACTGACCTGCCTCATGGAGCGAAGTGCTATATGCGTTAACTGCGTAATGATGCTAAAGCTCTTCGAGAATATAAACGTGAAACATTATCATTATGGTTAATACTAGTCTTCGGTTTTCAAGTTTTTTTTCCTTGAAGAGGAGAGGCAGAAAGATTATTTAAAGAAACAGTGAACAGAAGGCTACAGTTTGTTCTTAATTCATGACTGACTTTGATCAGAATGTCATAAGCAGTGGGAATGCGGTCTTGAAGTCCTGAAGGTAACTATTTCTACTTCAGGGCATGAAGGCTTCTCTTTAGGAAGAGAAATAGTGTTTCCTAAAAGCTTCTACTACAAAAGAGGCCAAGCTGAGTAGACAGAGCTGGCCTCAGTCTTGAACATCTTGCCATGGAAGGACCCAGAAGCAGGAGAGACTGCAATGATTTTTTAAAGTCCCTACAGTTTTTTTAGAATTTCAAGAGTGAAAGGATTCTTGGAGATCCAAAAATCCTTGTTCAGTGTCCTTTCCACTTGTCACAGGCATCAGTGGATCCCCAGTGGTATGTCTCCTATTGCTTCTGTAACAAATTACCACAATCTTAGTGGCTTAAAGCAACACAAATTTATTATTTTGCAGTTCTGGAGGCCACAAGTCTGAAAAGAGTCTTAAGGGGCTAAAATGAAGGTGTTAGCAGGGCTGGTTCCTTCTGGATCCGGGGGAGACTCTGTTCCTTGCCTCTTTCAGCTCTGGTGGCTGCCCACATTCCTTGGCTTGTTGCCACATCACTGCAATCTCTGCTCCCATCATCACATGGCCTTCTCTTCTCTATCAAATCTCCCTCTTCCTCCCTCTTATAAGGAGCCTTTTGATTACATTGGACCCACCTGGATAATCCAGGATAATCTCCCCATCTCAAAATCCAGACCAAGGGAACAGTAACAGCCATGAGGTCAGCACGCTGCGGGGGATGCAGGAGGAGGGGGCAGTAGGAGAAGAGCTCGCTGAAGGGTGTGGTGGTGGGGTGGGTTGTGGGGGGCAAGGTCATATAGGATTATGGGCCAAGGTCAGGACTTTGGCCTATACTCTAAGTGAGAGGGAAACTACAGTTGGATTTTGAGCAGAGGAATGACTGACATGATCTGACTTGCATGTTTCCAGGACCTCTCTGGCTTCTGGGTGGAGACAGGAGGCTCTTGCAATAATCTAGGCAATAGGTCATGGTGGTTGGATCAAGGTGGTGGGAAGTGGTGGATTTCTGGATATATTTTCAAGGTTGAGCTGTTAGAATTTGCTGATGAATTGGCTGTGGGGTGTGAGAGAAAGATAGGAGTAAAAGTTGACACTTAGGTTTTTGGTTTTAGCAGCAGGAAAGTGGGGAAAAACTGCAGGAAGAGTGTGGAGAAGATGGAGAGTGTGGTATGGACATATTAGGATTTGAGAATTACAAGTGGAGATGTGTCAAGCTATGCAGCTGGATTTGCTAGTCCATGGTTCAAAGGAGAGGTAGGGAAAATCTTCAGAAAATAAATACTCAAAACCTATAAAGCCTGCTTACTTCTTAAAGGACGAAGGAGAAGCCCTTTAATACGACATCTAGGATTTTCTATGGGTTGGTTTTAGCCTCATCTCTCATTGAGCTCCTACACCCAAGGTTTCAATCACTGATATTTTTCAAAACCCCTTGCCCTTTCATGCTTCATTGTCTCTACTTGTGTTGCTCCCTCCACCTGGAGTATGCATCCCTCCCTTGCCACCAAAATCCTATTCATCCTTCAAGGCCTGTGAGCCTCTTCTCATTGCTTTAGTTGAAATCCATCATCCCCTCCTCTGTGCTCCCAGGTAGACAGGTGGTGTGTTCTCCATCTACCTTATATCTGACTACTTGTGTTTGTCTATATCTCTACTAGATTGTGAGTTCCTTGAGAGTAGGGAAGGACCATGGTTCATTGGTCCTTATATCTCGAAGATGTCTCCAAGATGGAGACAGAAAGGGGTGTGATCCTGAAAATCAGAATCCTCAGTCTGTCAGTTTACCACTACTGGTTTTGAGGTAGAAATGCATGAAGACATGGCCAGACAAGAGTACACTATTGATGACTACACGTTGTTGGCCAAAACCCGCATGTGGAACCCATAGCCCAGGGAGCTCGCTTCACCAGGTGAGAGTCACCGTTTCTTCTTTGCCTCCTGAGGAGCTCAAGGATTAGACTAAAAACTGGCTTCCTTGGTCCCTTTCTCACACCCAAGGCTTGAACACTGTGTGTGAAGGCAAGAGGGCAAGGACAATTGAATCTAACAGGGAGATGGTCCAGGGAAATACAACTTAGAGCAGAGCTGGTCTAAGTTAACCTCTGAGGCATTGGGAGATGGAGGTGGTAGGAAGTTGAAGGCTTAACTTATCACACTAACCAAATATAGGGACATAGTCTGGAAATTGAGGGACTAGATAGGAGGGGAGAGAGCCAGGCAGGGATGCAGGAGCATTTGACCTGTTGCTTATTGCACAGAATCTCCTGTGCTGCATCATGGTCCAGTAGTGCTCTAAGCAGTGTCCCACACCAGTGCACCTCCTCCTTGGCAATGAGCTGCAATGAGGAGAGCCTGATTCCACCACGAGATGGAGCCTGCCCCTGCATCTGGCCCTGATTTTCACCTAGCAGGTGCTGAGTAAGTTTTCATTGGATTTGCCAAATTGGATAAATCCTCAGGAATGCACATGTATTCCCAATGGAAAGACTTAGGGGTTTCTCTGTGTCAATGACAGCAAGTGTGATAGAAATCTAAGGTTCTCCTGCAATCCTAGTATAAGACATAGTATAGTGTAGTGGGCAAGAGTGAGGGCTCTGGAGCTGTGTGATCTTGGACAAGTTAACCTTCCAGGGCCTCAGTTTCCTCATCCATAAAATGGGAGTAATGATATTTCTCACCTCAGAATTTTTTTGAATTAACTAAATGAGTTAATACTTGTAAATACTTATAACAGTGCTGGGCACATAGTGAATGTTGGATATGTTCTAGCTATTTTACAAGTGTGGGTTAGCTATAGAATGTCAGAGAGTCGTATGTCAGAGGATGTCTCTAGGTCTTTGTTCTAAAAAGGTTTAAAATTTCTGAGGAAGAAAGATTTAGATTTTTATCATGCTGTCAGTCTCTTCTACCTGAATATTTTACCTGAATATGCAGCCCATATCCTGGCAGCAAACATGACTCTTCTTATCCAGAGGGACGACCATTATTGGAGCTGGTTATGGGGCTGATATTTAGGCAGCTGCCTTTTGGCATGATCCCAAGTGAAATGTTTGAGCTGGCTCTTCCCTCAGACTCAGAAGTCACCTGCTAATGTGAACTTCAATGGTCCTGGGATGCTCAGCTGGAATCTCTGGCTTGTGTCACACCAAGCAGGTGGTCCGGGACCAAAGGGACAGTAATTGGCAACAATGGTTGTTGGAAGGTTACCAAGGCCCGGGAACATTCTCATTGGTTGTGTGTGTGTGTGTGTGTGTGTGTGTGTGTGTGGTCTCTGCAGATGGGTAAAAAGGGTCATACTAGGAATCCCTGAAGCAGTATTTTCTTCTCAACTTTCCTGGCTTTCATTGTTCAGAATTTCATTTTTGTCTTGGTAGTTTAAGGATCTTTTCAGTACATCCTTCTGCTCTTTTCTCCCTCCTATTAATATTTGTCTGACCAGTTAGAACTGTGACCTGGGAATCCTACATGCCTTTCTGATGGTATCCTTTTAACTTTTTTATTTACCTTTTTAAACTACATTTCCCCCCATTTCTATGAGGATCATCCTTGAGCAGTGAAAACTCTTGATGGTAAGAGGTGTCTGGGAGGGGCAGAGGGACTCTCAGGTAAATAAAGACTTTTGTTTTGCTGCCTGATTAATTAAACCTCCCCTCTCCCTATATTCCAGTGTCAATGACTCCTGTCACTTTCTGAATTCCAAGAGGAGAATTTACTTTTGCAATCAGAAAAAAAAATCAATGCTCAAAGGTCTCTCTTTTTTTAACCCTATTTAGTTGGATCAGTTATAATCTTTTATTTCCTGTGATAGATTTTACACACGAATATTCATTCAACAAATATTTACTAAGTGTCTGCTGGGGCAAGACCCAGTTCTAGCGTTGAAGGGGAATATAAAATATATAATACATTTCTATCTATCTACACATATGATGTACATTATACTCTAACTAGGGGGGACACAGCATATGCAAAAGTGGGGGACCATACTGAAGAAAAAGTTGAGAAACAGTGCTTAGAACCTCATGACTTTTGCTCAGTTTGTTATAAAGAAACTTTTTTTTTTCTTACAGGGAGGAAATAATTCTGATGTCACTGAAATGTGTGAAGATTCATCCCTCCCCCGAGGGTATGTGTTCAAAGGGGGTGGTCCACACTTAAATTCTACCCAGAGCATTGTTGCTTATGGCCCATGAGCCCTTTGGGATGTACTTTGTGGCTGCCTGTGGGGTCCTATGCCCTCTTCTGAGAGGAGGCAGCTTAGTGCGAGGCAGATCCAGGTTCCACTCCCTGCTCCTCCACCTGCTGTGTGCCTTGGGGTGAGTTACTCAACTTCTCTGAACCTCAATTTGATCATCTGCAAATCAGAGATAGTAGCACCTACCTCATGATGTAAAAATTAAAGTGAGATCATATATGTACCATACATGGTTCATAGAAAATGAGCAGTTCACGTAAATTCCCTCTATTCTTATACCAAGATTTACATTTTCTTTTCCTTTTTTTCTTCTCCTTTTAATTTCCTTTTTTCTTGTAGTAGGGGTGAATGTCCGAATCACTTCAATTAGTCCATCTGGATTCCAGGCACATCTGAGATTAATATCAGCCAGAACTTGAGCATCATTGCCAAGATGTGAGCTCCTTAGGCTGACACATGGACCACATGAACGGACTTTCTTCTAGTGCTAGGTGATGCTAATTGCCATCTGATCTGAAGCCAGAGTTGCTTTCCTTTGTTTAATAATTTATATCTTCTCTGAGAACACCGAACTAAGGTTTAAAACTACAGAAAGGAATGATTTATCTAAATGCCAACAAAGCTAAAGGCAGCAAAATCACCCAAACTCCCTTTGTGGGCTGCTACCCACTCACCACCCCAAATACCAGGTGGCATTTGAGGGAGTGTACACATGGGACAGCAAGAGAGTAAAGTTCCTGAGGTTTTAGGTCTTGGTCCAGCCTCACTCTGTAGGTGTTGCCAGCTCAGGCTGGCTGAGAAGCAGGCAGGACTCATAGAAATGAGCATATCACAGTCCCAGGGCCCACCTCCTGGGGCTGCACTGTATTTCAACTTATTTTTTCATCAAGCAGTTATGAATACCTACTATGTGGAAGGTTGTCTGCTGGGCATTGTGCAAAGTTACAAAGCTGGAGATTGCTGCTCTCAAGCAGCTCACAGTCTGGTGCAGAAAAAAGTCCGTTAATAGTTATCCTGTTCCTCCCCTGCCCCATCCATGCTTCCCGAGTGACAATAGAGCAACAACCGCCTCCGGTATTTTTCCTCCTTTGTGGCATTTTGGGAGGGTGGAATTGGGGAGGATGGGGGAGTACGACTGGAATAACAGGAATAACCATTTAAAACTGGAATAACAGGAATAACAATTTAAAGCAATTGCAGTGTGCCAGGTATAGAACTAGGCATTTTATATCTCATATCTCATTTAACTGGTGTATTCAGAACGAAACAGTTTCTGACATGTAGATAGAAACAGATCTGGAATTGTCAGCAGTGTCCCTTCCTGATCAGATTGAGAGATCCAGTTCACTCTACAAACACACATTAGTTAACAAAGGGCTGTTGCTACTTGATTGTGCCTTGAAGCTGACCTTGTCTGCTCAGGTGCCAAAGGAAACTCTCTCCGTCTTAGGAAGGCTGTAACAGCTGTCACTGAGGTGTCGCTGGTCAGAGCACAGTGAACATTAACTGATCTTTGCACCTTTGGTTTCCTCTAACTGGAAGGTTCTTCCCCTCCATCCTCCTGGCCAGTGCCCCAACCTCCTCAACTTCCTGCAGGACCCCCTTCTCCAGCAAGTCTCCCTCAGCACTGTAGTTACACTGAGTACCCCTGCTCCCTGGCATTCTTGTCGTTGAACTTTTCTCTGTAGCAAAGATTGTCATCAAACAGAACGCATTTTACTTCTTTCTTCTTTGTCTCCTCCTTCCCCCCACAAAAGGTGAGCTCTAGGAGGCCTGGGAGTCTTGCCATTTAGGTTTCCCTGCTGTATTCTCAGCACCCAGAACAGTACCTGGCCCAGAGCAGGTGATCAATAAATATTTGTTGAATGAATCAATGACATGATGCTATTAGGAAGAGATGACTCTGTGTAGCCTAAGGGTGGAGTGAGACCTTTCCTACAATGGCAGGATCAGGGAACGTACCATTCACTGATTGATTCATTCGTTCACTAGGTATTTACTGTGCAATTAAATTGTGCCTGGCACAGTGCTGCTAGGCTTTGGGCAGCAGCACTGTGTAATGAGACACGGTTTCTGCTTCTAGAGGACTCAGTCTGTTGAGGGAAATGGACCCCTAAATAATATTAATGGTGATACTGATGATGGCTTGCATTTAATGGAACATACTACAGGCCCGGTGCTGTTCTAAGCATGTTTATGCATTATTAACTCTTCTAATTCTTACAAAAAATAAGGTAGGTATGACTCTTATGCCCAATTTGTAGATGAGGAAACAGAGGTACAAAGAGGCCACACATTCTGAGGTGTGAATGGGGTGTGTGAAAACAGCTTACATTGTAACTGGTCACTTGCTTAGAGTGGAGAGGGCCAGGTGGGCAGCTCTGAGAGGCTTATGGATAATAATCACTCTCCTGCCCCCATCCCCATTGACCGGTTCTTATAGTTGCTGGACACTTCTACCTCCCTCACTTCAATCCTTGCTGCTCTAGACCTGGTCTCCCCTGAGCTCTCAGCAAATGCTCTCCTTCTGACCCTCATGACTCCCTGTTCTTATGCTCCTGAGTCTGCAGGCCCTTCCCGTGCTCTAAAGCAGGGAGGCTCAGCCTGGACGTCCCAATTCCCCACTCTGTGCTCTCAAAGCTGTGACTTCAGACACTCCACATTGGGTCCCGCTGTCCTCTGCAGGAGGGGAGAGACTGTGACCGGCCCAGATTCCACCACTGCTGACTCTGGGCAGGGTCCACGAAGGTCTGCCCTCACCAAAAGGGTCTTTTGGGAGTCTCCAAAAGAAGAGTTTAACACTGTCACCCCTCTCACCTTGTCTGTTCTCCCCGTAGTCCCTTCTGAGTCTTGGGTGACCACACTTTGTACATCAAAACCCTAGGCGGTCACTTGTCTTCCTCACCTAATGATGTGTTACAGAACACAAGCTTCCGTTACTTGCAAAAGTGTGATGGGAACATGAATATTAATAACTCCTATGGGTTTCCTGCAAACACCCATCACCACGGCTTAGAAACCTTGTTCTGGTCTGCTCAGTAGAACAAAAATAAAGGATTCATGAACCCAGCTTAGGCGGAGTACTTCCTGGGGCTTTGAACTGCAATGCTCCTGCAGCACTGAGGTGGGGAATGTGCTCCCTTCCACCTGGGTTTTGGCAGGAAGGTGTTTGACTTTGGTCAGGGACAAGACGTGGCAGCTGCATCAGGACCCAGTGGAGCTGCATCAGGGATTTCTTTTGATCAAGAAGAAAGTTCTCCATGGTGACAGCATCTTGGTGAGCAGGTGCATTAGATCTAAGCCAAGTCGAGTTGGAACGATGCTAGAATCCAGAGCTGGTCCAGCAGCGATTCGTAGAACTTCAGGGCTCACCGATCATCATTTGGGGTACACTGAGGCCACAAGAGGCAGGAGAAAAGTCAGCAGCAGGGCCAAGGGTAGAGAATCTGGAGATGACCGTTCCTTTGGAGAACCCTAGAGCAAGGATGATGTTGCCCTTGTTCTACAATCAGGGTTTCCACTAAAGTCTGCTGACATCGTTTTTTCAGAAAAAGTCCTTTTCTCCAGGGAATCTTCAAGTATGTGCCATTTTATGTTCCCTGGGTCTCTAGATGCCTGTTCAGGATCTCATAGGGTTGACTCAGGCTGTGGTAGAGCTCATAGGTTTCCCATCTCAGGCAACGCTGTTCTAGTAAGTAGTGCTCCCAGGATCTGAAGGGAATTCCTGGCTGAGCTGGAGATCGGATAGATTACAAGGAGACTGGGGTTGGGGAACGTAACGGCCCTGTTTCTTGGGTTCTGCTGCCCCAGGAACCCCATGTGATCTTTAGGGTTTGAGCCCCTGGTTTGATGGCTGTTCAAGAACACTAAAGCCTGGGTCCCATAGTTGAAAAGTACTGTTGAAATTTATTTTAATGGGTACTGTGTGTGCATTTTTTAAATTTGGGATTAAAAAATCATCCATATTTCTAGCTCACAAAAATAAAATAAAAATCTTTTGGATTTTCTAGAGAAAAATATCTTCTTAGGTAATTTCAATGTGATCAAGGTCGCATCTATTTTGCTGAACTTTAGGTCAATCATTAAATCTATGGTGTTAATGGAAATGCTCATTTTCTCGGGCAGCAGCATGCAGAATCTCTCTGCAGTACAATTAACAGTGGTGGAGAAATCTCTGCCAGTTCTTCTAGCTGTCAGATTTTCCTGTAGTTGGCATGCCAGTGTTTCATCTCAGAGCAGGCCATGCAGGTGAAAGTCATGGAATAGTCATAGCTTTCTTCCTAATATACTTCATTGCAGGAGGCCAATCCCCCACAGAGTTCTGACATAGGATGCGTTGATCACAGCGGCCTCTGCCCAGCAATGTTTACCCAGGAGGCAGCCTGGTATCATCATGGAAGGAGTGAAAGAGTTGAAGCCGGAAGATCTACAGAGTGAGTCCTGGCTCTAAATTTGCTAGCTGTGTGATTCTGCCCTTTCTGATCTTCAGTTTTCCCTTCCATAAAATGAAAATTAAAATAACAACTGCTCTTTCTACTTTATAAAATTATCCTGAGGATAATATGAAACCTTTTATGGGAAGTAGTTTTAAAGACTGTATTGCTAAAAGGTTGTTGCTTTTGTTGGCTATTGCATAGAAATAGAGTTAGTTAAACTTTTTTAAAGAATATCCAAAAGCATTCTTTGAACTACTGTAAAGTGATTGCCGGGCGTGTGCAATAAAAGCGTATAATATAGGAAGGCTACTTTTCCAGTCAAAAAGGAAGAAAAGCTGACATGGTGATTATAAAAGATAATGTTGGCTATCTATTCAACATCTGTTCTTACGTCACTCCTTTCTCCTTTGTATTGGGTTGGCCAAAAAGTTTGTGCTGGCCAACCCAATAAAAGAACCCTGATTTTGTTACATATCTACCGTTATCATGACCACATGTTTCAAGGGCTTTAACCCAGAAGCAGGCCTAGATTGGTCTAAGCCAATGGTTCCTAAACTTTCATATGCATCAGAATCACCGGGACGGCTTGTTAAAACTCCGGTTGCTGGGCTCCCGCACGATTAGTTGGTCTGGGTGGTGTCAGAGAATATGTATCAGGTGATGCTGATACTTTGGTCTGAAGACCATATGCTTTGACAGCCACTGTCTGAGCCAGTCCTAGTGGTCCCATCCTCCTTGCCAGTTACTGGTTAGATACAGATACATGAAGCAGCTCTGCCCAGTGAAATGTGATAAGTGCTGGGGGCTTATGGGAAAGGGTTTCTCACTCTTCAATAGAGACACAGGGAAGAGGTGGCTCCTTTTCTACCTCTGGACAGTGTCTCTGGGTAGAGCCCCTGGGACTGCTGCAGGTATTCTGGTACTATGAAGGGAGCAACACTGAAGACAAAGCAGATGCTCTGAGAATGACTAAGCAAAAATGATGTAAGGCACCTGGGTCCCTAGTGATGTCCTTGGGTCACAAAATTAACTGTGGAGTTGCCTACCTTTTATTTGTTAAGCCATTTTGAGTTGGAGTTCTCTGTTACTTTCAGTCAAAGTTAACTTAGTGGATAAAGTGATAATGTTAAAATTTCTTTTCTGTCATGGGGACATGGGGGTAGGTTATGGGACAGGATCCCTGGGCCTTACGGGGGGCAATGGGAGATGCCTGGCATTAGAGATTGCACTCAGCCATGAACCATGAACCTTCATCAAGGTCTAACTATCAGGAGAAAATTCGGAAAGGACCAATTTAGGAAGGGCTGGAGGTAGTGAGCAAATCAGGGAGTGAGTAAAGAGTTCCCAACCTGGGAGATGTGACCATATTAGAATAGGTTGGGAGCATGTGATGGGTGGAAAGGTATGCTGGGTGCCTTAAGAATAGCAAATTTTGATGATTTTGTGGTCTGATGTGTGGGAAGGTGAGCCCAGGATTGGAAAGAACAGCTGAGGAAAGGCAGGCTAAGGGGATTGGAACTGGAAGTAGAAAATAAACAAATGTCAAAGGGACTTGGGAGCTTGTGTGCTGATTGAGACATTGTGTGTCCCCAAATGACATTTATTTACTATTGTTTTGACACCAGTAAAGCTATTCTCAGTTAAAAGGCAACATGGGTTCCTGAAGTGGCCTTTATCCAGTGGTTTGTATGCCATCGGGGGCAGCCAGTGATTTCACAATAATTACTAAGAACTCTCTTTTCCTCAGACTCTAGGACTCTTACAACTGTGTTCTTCTAGCACCTGTGGGCCTGATCTGTGACCTTTTGGTGTTTGTCCCATTTCCTTCCTATTAGTCTCCCGAATGTCTTCAATGGGCTGGTACCTACCAACCTTACCTGCAAACATTACCTGCTGTCGTTCTGCCCCTTCTCTCCTGCTCATTGCCAGGCCCAAGGGTCCCTGTTCTCAGCATTGGTGATGCAACAATGAAAAGGCATATCCTTGATCTCAGGATGCTCAGTCTAGGGCAGCGCTGTCCAGCAGAAATACAATGCAAGCCACGTGTGTAGTTTTAAGTTCTCTAGTAACCACATTAAAAAAAGTAAAATGAAACAGTGTTATTAATTCTAATAATATATTTTATTCATCCCAATGGTTCTCAACCAGGGGAGATTTTGCACCTGGGGGCATTTGACAGTGTCTAACAAGGTTACTTGGCAATGTCATTAGGCAATTTTTGGTTGTTATAACTGGGAGTGTGCTAGTGGTATTTAATGGGTGGAAGCCAGAGATGCAGCTAAACATCTTGCAGTGCACAGGGGACAGCTTCCCACAACAAAAAACTATGTAGCCTCAAATGTCCATGGTACTGAGGTTGAAAAATCCTGATTTAACTCAGTATATCCCGAACATTTCATTTCAATATGTAATCAAATATAAAAAAATCATTAATTTGATATTTTCCATTTTTTAAATTTCTAAGTTTTAAAGTCTGGTGTGTAGTTTACACTTGCAATACATCTCAATTCAGGCCAGCCATGTTTCAACCGCTCGACTGCCACGTGTGGCTAGCAGCTATAGCACAGGCATAGGGAATGTATAGTCAGAGTCCAGGAAGCTCTCTGTGACCCCAATTTCCTGGACACAGCAAATATGGTGAGATGCAAAGTCCTGCTACCTTTGTGAGACCAGCATTATAAGGAATTGGGATAAAAGGGTTGCACAGGGTCTCTCTGATCATTAAATTAGGTAAGAATGCAGATACATTCAAAACAACATCTATCCAGCCTCTTACATTATTTCCCTGCAAAATGTCATCAAGAGGTGGTAATTTCTTATTCCCTCAAGGCAAAAGTCACCATACCCCATTGGGAAGATTACGGAGAGAGAGGTATCTTCAATGCAGCTCTGAAGATTTAGATATTGATCACTAAGGCTTTCATGTAGTTAACCAAGCAACACCATTTGCTTCTTCCAAAACATGCTATAGATTTTCCCTTTTGAAAAATGAGAAATAAAGGGTTTCAGGTTAAAGAGAAGGTGATCGTGTAGTAATCAGAGCTTTAGAACAATCCAAACTGACCTTGGTGCAACATGCTGGGTTTTTTTGTGTTTTTTTTTTTTCTTTTGCGGTACGCGGGCCTCTCACTGCTGTGGCCTCTCCCATTGCGGAGCACATCTGGACACGCAGGCTCTGCGGCCATGGCTCATGGGCCCAGCCGCTCCACGGCACGTGGGATCTTCCCGGACCGGGGCACGAACCCGTGTCTCCTGCATCGGCAGGTGGACTCTCAACCACTGTGCCACCAGGGAAGCCCAACATGCTGTACTTTGTAATCCCCAATTTGAAGGCTTTGCGGCATCTCATTAGTCTGGAGTTGCAGTACAGGTAACTCTGTATTGAGTGAGTAATTAAATGTGACACAGAAGCAGGCGCATGGATTAGTGACACACCCAGGGGTCTCTCTGAGGCGGCCTTTCCTGTCTCTGCCCATGAGGTAAGGTGTAGAGAGGGTTAGCAGAGCTCCTGCAAGAGGGATCCTGGTGCAAAGGCAGAGCAAGATTTCTTGCATTATCTGTGGGCCAGGGCAATGTGCCAGTAAGTGTGGGGATGTCCATTCTGGAAGCCAGGCCTCATCTATGATGTGACAAGGTCACCTCTGTGGTGCTGCTGATCCTTTCTGGGCTAATGCTGGGAATCCATCCTCAGCTTTCCTGAGCAAACTGCTCATTCTGTCTTTAGTAGTACAAGGGCCTGCAGTGTTACTTGAAGTCAGAGTGAAGAATGCTTCCCATTCTTCCAGAGCCCTCTGAAACCAGAGCGTATCTGACACAGTCAGGCTTTGTCTAAAATGAAGGAAGACAAAAAGAGCATTTCCGCATTTTTACAGTGTCAACATGACACTTATTTTCATAGAATCGAAGGTTAGGAGAGAGGCTCACGTAGTTTACTTTTCTGTTTCCAGAAAGGCTTTCATTCAGCTTTCCCACACACCTGAAAATCTACCCTATTTTTCAAAGTCTGCCAGGGAAGGAGTTTATAAAAATCTTTTTGGAAACAAATTCAGGTTCTCATCAGCCCTCAATGGACCTATATAGAGCACTGATCCTGTGCAAGGAATTATTTAGAAGCAAAGAGATTAAAGGAAAGAGAAGGCAGCTTCTCTTTTTAAGGAACTCATGAGAGAGACATAAAAAGACAGGGGGTAACAAGTGCCAAAGGAATGGCATAGCCATGAAGGCCTGTAGGAGTTGAGAAGAGGAAACTGATGCGGGGCTGGGTGAGAGGAAAGATCTCCTGGAATAGGTGAAATTCAAGCTGGTCTTCCGGGGTTGGAGAGCGGGGAAGGGCCTGGTGTGAGGAAATCCCATCTCATACTCTCCTGTCCCCTGTCCTCTTTTTAAAGAGGACAGGGGACAGGAGAGTATGAGATGGGATTGTTTCAATGTTTCATTTCCTCCGATTATGAGGAAGGACCCATGACTTGGAGAAGTTCAGTGACTTGTCCAAGGGCACATGTGGGTCATGGCAGAGCCTGGATTGGAATCTGGTGCTTCTGAGGATGCCTCCTTAGTGCACTTTCAACGAGAGCAGGCTCTTTCATTAAACACCCTAAAGAGGAAGTTCTTGACCTAAATGATGGCAATGTTTCAGCAGCAATGCAAGGTACCACAGCTGCAAGACGAATCAGGCCTGCTCCCAGCCTCTAGGAACTCACAATGAACTAATGCAAATTTCCAGAAATTTGATCTTCCATAGAGATGTGACACGTGCTCACTCATTTAACAAATATTTACTGATCATCTGCTGTGTGCCTGGTCCTGTTCTTGATGCTAATGATACAGTGGGAAACAAGACAGATTCAAGCCTTGCTTTATAAAGTTCATGGTCTAGAGGTGTGGGAAACAACAAACAAATAATTACAAGTGTGATAAGAATTATAAAAAGGGGGCAACAGGTGCTATGGGAGTATGAAGATATTCATCTAATCTGGGAGAGAGGGCTTTCCTTGGGTAGTACTGTTTAAGCTGTAAGAGGGAAGAACAAATCTGACTCCATATTGGATGTTCCTTTTACTTTAACCTTTGGATTAATAAAGCATGAAATTACTTAAGTGTCATATTTATAATAAGTATCATCTTCTTCTCTGAAGTAATGAAAAAGACAATTTTCACATTTTCAAAATACTAATGATAATTCAACACATTAAATTACTACAAACACTCAAATGTATGTGATCACGGGCCAGTTCTTCTGGTGTGTTTATTTTTTATCTTTTACACCATGCTCTACTGCTTGCTACATGTTAAGAACTGTTGCCTGTAGCCTGAAATATACAGGATAGCCCATTCTCAAGGCTCTGACCTTTAAAGGTATAACACTTTCCAATTCATATAGAGAAAAGAAGTTGCAGAACAGAGAATAACATTTGTCTTTTCAGAGGTTGACAGGGGCATCATGACCTGACCTATGTGGACAGCTGTAGGAGCAAAGGATTCTGACACTAAGAAGTTTACAACAACCAACCTCACCCCCTCCCCTTTTACTATAAAAGGAGCCTGAATTCTAACTTGGGGAAGATGGTTCTTTGGGAAACTAGTCCACCATCTTCTTGGTCTGCTGGCTTTCCAAATGAAGTCACTATTCCTTGCCTCAATAGCTCGTCTCTTGGTACATTGACCTGTCGTGCAGTGAGCAGTATGAGCTTGGACTCGGTAACAAAGCCAATAGGTGAGTGACGAACTGAGTAAACCAGGTGAAGGGGGAGAGGAGAGCAAGGAGAGAAGGATGTGCCTGTCAGAAGGAGAAGACTCCGAAATATCCAAAGTGGAGAGAATGTGGTGCTTTTGAGGAACAGAAAAATGTCCAAGATGGTGGCAGCAAGGACGGAGATGAAGTCCAAGAGTTAGGTCAGGCCCCTCCTGGGCTGGAACATGACCACGTGTGTCCCTGGCACAATGGCCAAAACAAATAAAAACTAAAACAAACATCCTGTCTTTTCTCCCAACGACAGGTGTGGAGAGGAGGCTGCCACATTGCACAGTTTCAGAGAGCTGGTGAAGACCCTGTGCATCTTGTCTAGGAGGGTCTCTGCCCAGACCCCTGCACCTGTCGCCTCCCCTCTACCCTCACCAGCCTCTGGACTGAGGACTCATGTATTCCCTCCACCTCCAAGCTCTGCTCCACTGGTCCCTGGGTTACTCCTGACTGTGAAGGAACTGCTGTGAGACTGAGTTCTTGAGTGCCTGGTACCCAGTCTACTCAATGAGTGTGTGTTTCTGCTGTGCTGGGAGGGATGTCTGGTATTCAGTTTTTCTTCTGGTGGATTGGGCCCTGAACACCTGAGAAGGCTCCAGGCAGCAGTCTCTGAATACCACTGAGTTAGTTCATAATTGGACTTCTGCCTCAGTTTCCCTGCTTAATATTCCAGTTACCTGCTGAGGCTGGAGTTCTGCCCAGAAACTCCAGTACCCGCTGTTTACTGAGTGCCTGAGACAGCATCAGGGTGCGGAGGATGGTGTAAAAGATAAAAAATAAACACACCAGAAGAACTGGCCCGTGATTACATACATTTGAGTGTTTGTAGTAATTTAATGTGTTGAATTATCATTAGTATTTTGAAAATGTGAAAATCGTCGTTTTCATTACTTCAAAGGAGAAGATGATGCTTATTATAAATATGACACTTAAGTAATTTCATGCTTTATTAAAAATTTTGATCTTGTAGGTGTCAACAATTGCTTCTTTCTTTTTCCAGTTGACAGATAGCAGTTTGAATATTCATTACATTTTTATGTTACAAAATCCACATGAGATAAAAACTGGCACTGGTTCCCAAGATGAAACAGAGTCCAAAGTTCTTAATTTGACACTCAAAGCCTCTCACCATCCAGCTCCAACCTCCTGCCACTGCTCCTTTCCACGTTCTCCACCCTTAGGCTTTCTCCTCTATGTTTGTGCTCAAACCATCCCCTTTGCCTGGAATGTCCTCCCCCTTCGTCTTTATATGCCATCATTCTCTTCCATGAAGACCTCTTCTCTTCTGTTTCCATTGGCTTGCCCCTTTTCTCCTCTGGCTTTGAATTCTTCCTCTACCCCTGGTTCCTCATTTTCTATCTTCTTCTTTAGCATCTTTCACTTGGACCCCTGCTCAGACTCATGTTCTCATAAAACAGCTGTGTATAGCTAACATTGATTTTTGAGGTCTAGCCTAGAAAACTAATGAAAAAATTGTCTTCCTGATTGTACAGTTAAAAGAGTTTCTTTTTAGACTGGGGAAATATGGAAAGTATGAAGAGCACAAGGGTTTCCACCAGCTGTGGAGGAATGGTCAAGAGCGCAGGCAAGTTACTTAGCCTCTCTGAGCCTTAGTATTCTCATCTGTGAAATGGAAGTGATACACCCTGTCTCACTGGCTCACTGTGAATATTGCATGACTGTTATGTGTAAAATGCCCAGGAGAGTTTCTGATGAGCAATAAGCACTACTCCTTACTTGGTAACTATTGTTATTATAACAACCATGGTAACATTTTCAAACTCTTATTTATACTGTTATTAAAAATACTTCATAAATTCCAGCCAGCAATCTTTCAGGCAAAATTCAGATCCTTTTCGTTTTCAAGCTGGAGGCTGCTTCTTCTCCCAGGGTAGAGAAGTGACCTGCCTTCTATCCCAGAAGCATTCACAGGTGTCACCAGGAAGTGGAACAAACATACTTGACTCTCTTGTCTATGCCTTCAGATCATGTGAAGCAACTGAACAGTCACTTGGGTGTGAAACCAACAGAAGGTGCAGGTTCAGTCACTTGACTCAGTAACAGGTGCTGTTTATAGCACCCAAGTTCTTTCCTGGAATCTTTTCATGTTTGTGACATGCACCATGTGTTAAGAGTGCACGCGTGCCATGTTTAGTCACAATGCGACAACCAATGGCAGGCACGACCTTTCGTTTAGGTGGAGCCCTCTGGGTCGAGTGTGGGCTCCTCCTCAGCTCACCCAACCTTCCTCCCTGCACCACTAAGGCCATCAGGATGACTGGCTCACATCCTGTTAGGAAGAATTACCACAATCACTAATGGGTAGTTAGGGACAGCGTTCCAGTTTAAAGGCTTCCATGGGCTGTGAAAACTAGAGAGTAAATAATCGTTTATTAGCCAGTCACTTAGAGGATGCCACATGGAATGACGTTCCAGCGCTTCGAAACACACAGAAGCCATATATCATAATGGACCATAAAAGTTACGTGCAAACAGGCTGTAAAACTGAACAACTGTTTACCTCGGTGAAGGTTTTATTTACATGCCCTCTGGCAGACACTTAAATGTACTTCATATGGGGCTGCCGATCACAGCTTCAAGCAGAGCCTGCATTAAGTGGAGATGCATTGGGTAGACACCAATTGCAATGTGATTTCAGGGGCCTGGGGACGGCCTCTCAGGCTCCCTCCAAAACGCATTTTGCCTGCTTGATGCTTAAAATTTCTTGAAATCGGGCTTCCCTGGTGGCGCAGTGGTTGAGAGTCCGCCTGCCAATGCAGGGGACACGGGTTCGTGTCCCAGTCCGGGAAGATCCCACATGCCGCGGAGCGGCTGGGCCCGTGAGCCATGGCCACTGAGCCTGCGCGTCCGGAGCCTGTGCTCCGCAACGGGAGAGGCCACAACAGTGAGAGGCCCGCATACCGCAAAAAAAAAAAAAAAAATCTTCTTGAAATCAAAGCTCTATTTCTATAATTACAGAAAATTCAATTTGACAAGTTCAACATTGGATTCAACATAAAGTATCATGGAATGCACAAATAGCCAACATTTATAGTGCTATGTTCTTTACCGAGCACTTCCACACGTGGAATCTTCTTTGTCCTCCAACACTCGTAAGATGAATCATTTCCTCCGATTATGAGGAAGGACCCATGACTTGGAGAAGTTCAGTGACTTGTCCAAGGGCACATGTGGGTCATGGCAGAGCCTGGACTGGAATCTGGTGCTTCTGAGGATGCCTCCTTAGTGCACTTTCAACAAGAGCAGGCTCTTTCATTAAACACCCTATAGAGGAAGTTCTTGACCTAAATTCATACCATCCTGAGAGCCAGTTTTGAAAGGTGGAGATGTGGATGAGAGAGTTGGGTCAGCAGTCTTCCTGGGCCCTGCTCAGCTGGGGTAGGCCCAGAGATCTCCTTCTCTGCAGTGGCCCCTGCCTGCTTCAGGGATGTTCCTGCCCAAGCTGACTGGTGAGTGTGCACACACTTCCTTTAAGCTTTGCTGAGTTGATCCCTGCCACACTTGTGTTCCCTGCTGGGATTAGAGCCCTGTTCTGATCCCCAGTCTCCTTGGCTAAAGTTCTGGAAACTTGCTACTTCCTTGCTGGTTCTCTGTCCCAGGAGGCTACTCTGTGTCCCTTTTGCTTCTACCCTCAGCTGGTTTCTTTTCCTTTTTTAAAAATTTGTATTGGAGTATAGTTGATTGATAATGTGTTAGTTTCAGGTGTACAGCAAAGTGATTCAGTTATACATATACATATACCCACATTTTTTAAGATTATTTTCCCATATAGGTCATTACAGAGTATTGAGTAGAGTTCCCTATGCTAAACGGTAGGTCACTATTAGTTATCTATTTTATATATAGTAGCATGTATATGTCAACCCCAATCTGCCAATTTATCCCTCCCCTCTTTCCCCACTGGTAACCATAAGTTTGTTTTCTACATCTGTAACTCTACTTCTGTTTTGTAAATAAGTTCATTTGTACCATTTTTTTAGATTCTACATTTAAGCGATATCATATGGTATTTGTCTTTCTCTGTCTGACTTACTTCACTCAGTATGACAATCTCTAGGTCCATCCATGTTGCTGCAAAAGGCATTATTTCATTCATTTTATGGCTGAGTAATATTCCACTGTATATATATGTACCACATCTTCTTTATCCATTCCTCTGTTGATGGACATTTAGGTTGCTTCCATGTCCTGGCTGTTGTAAATAGTGCTGCAGTGAACACTGGGGTGCATGTATCTTTTTGATTTACGGTTTTCTCTGGACATATACCCAGGAGTGGGATTGCTGGATCATATGGTCCCGCTGGGGTTTTGTTCCTCTGCACAGACCTGCCAGAATTGCATGCTGATTGTTGGGGTTTTTTTCTCTATTGCTGGAACTGCCAGTTGTTCATTATTCCTTCATTCACTGAAGACATTTTTATAGAGCACCTACAACAGACAGGAAGACACAGTCCAGAGTCAATTCCCCTCGGCTCTCAAGGTAACCCTAATGAAACGTGAGTTTGCCGCGTACCTTTAGAGACTATGTAAGTGCTACTGTTGACTAGCTCACCAGATGCCTTAAAGCTGGGTTTTTTTTTTTTTTTCTAAATCTCTGAACGTCCACTGTCAACCACAAGAACTGATGGCTTAATATGGGCACTGAGGAGGCTGGAGGTGAGGCTGGGTCATGGTTGGGGTCAGAACATGGGAAATGGGTTCTAGGAGAGCTTTAAGACAGCATGGGAATTTCTTAATATCAATAAGGCCTGGCTGGCCCTGGCTCCAGGTGAGTCTGGGAGCCAGTGGCTCTGCTGAGTGACAGCCAATGAGCCACACTGGGGTAATTTATAGAAAAGGGTGACAAGGAATGACCTTCAGCATCTTTGTTTAATAACATTACCTTCATAAGCTGCAATCCTTTAGTTTCACAGATACCAGTGGCAAGACTTGAATGCATTTTACCTGAATTTCTGCTTTATTTATTTCCCTGCTAACTTCGTTTCTAAAATCACCTTTGCTGAATGACAACTCAATCAATTCAATAACATGCAATTTTACACAGTAGAAACCTATTCCCAGATCCCCCTTCCTACTTGTAATTGTCGGCTACTCCCTTGAATAGCCTGTGTGTTTCAAAGCCAAGTTATTTTCATCTCCAGACCCCCGAGGTGGAATGACACTGTGAGATGGACACAGTCCTGACCCGAGGCTGAAGATGCTGTCCTCTTCCCATTCTTTATTCACATGCATCTCTCGTTCATCACAGCCTGAGCTGCCAGCTCATGTTCAATTTCCCGTCAGATCAGTTGTGTTAAGGAATCATCGGCTTGATTGGCTTCATTTTAGAAGCTTTCTGAGATGCTGGGATTTTTTACTTTGTTTCACATGCTTTTGGAATCTTGCCAAAGTAAATGAAGGTAAAATGAACATGTATATTTTGGCTTTATTTTCCAGGACCAGGTAAAGTGATGGACAGGATTGTATTACTGGAGGAATGAAGGAGGAGGTGGGCTGCACACATATTCTGTTGATCCACAGAATCTGTGGGTAATGAACTGGGAAAAAAAATCTGCTGATTGAAAATGTGAATCATTAATAGCTTTGAAATATACAGCTTCTTTTAGATTTCAATCTTCTGTGATTTGCTTAGAGTCCGTGCTGCAGTGGTCTGAGCCACAGGTCGAATTGTCAGTCACAATGAGCAGGGTTTGCTCATGGCCTCTGTTGTTTCAGAGATTATATTAAACGCTTAGAAAAGCTGCAGTAACTCTTCCAGGGCTCTGGAGTAGTCATCATGGTATAGTACTCCCTGGACTTTCATTGATTTAGAATTTGCATTTTCCATTATTTGCAAATGACCCTCTAGGTTCTAAATATATTATAATTTGTATTCTTATTGAAACATGAATTAAAATTGCACTAGCTGGATGGGATGCTGGGGCATAGCCGTGGATTACATTGCTGGTCTAACACTCTGCCCTCTGCCACTCAAAGAAAAAATGTTTTTCACTCATTGTATATACATATTATGAGGAAAATGATGTGATATAGTGGTTCTTTGTGAATTGGGGGGATTCATAAAGATATTGTAAAGAATTACTCATGAGTGTCAGGCTGTACTGTCGGTATATCTTATTGTCTTATTGTAATGAAACCGAGTATAGCAATGCTTTTCTCATCTGTGGATGACTTATCTGGACATTAAGAAATAATTTATTTTGTAATCAATAAGTAAAGAAAAAGCGCTGCTGAGAAGACAATATAGATGTTCCCACATCTATCCACACTAAAACTCATACTCTTAGCCCAAAGGTGATCTCCTCAAGCCCTCATCCAGAACTAACCTCTGCCCTTTTTGATTTAGATTCGACCTCAGGTGCAAAGAGTTGAAGTCATCATCCTAAGATGCTCATGGCATCTACCTGCTCATTGTGGCTCACAATGAGCCACAATGAGTTTATTTTAGTATTTTCTGCCTTCATGCCCATCTCTATGCCTGTTATCTCCTTCATATCTGGTAAACATGCAACATGCATACTCATGTGTTTAGGATATGTTACTGAAATGTATGACATTTAAATTTATATGATGGTATTTCGGTATATGTCTTTTCTTTTCTTTTTTACTGTTTCCACTCAGCATAATTTTTCAGGATTTATCCATGCTGGTGAGTGTGCATGTGGTTAATTCTTCCACTGCATTTTCTTCCAGAGCATATGTCCACCATGGTTTGCTTATAGTCCCAGTTACAGATGCCACTGTTGGCTCAGTGCATTGCTGCCACATACAATGCTATGAAGTCCATCTTTTTCTGTGCCCCTTTATGGTCCTGGGTGAGTGTTCCTGGGGTGATAGCCCTAGAGTCAGATTATAGGTT